GAGAACATCATCCCACTTTATGGGTCTACGAGTTATGTTCCAATAATCTGACTGTACATCTCTTAGGTAATCCCTTAAAGATCATCTTTGCCAAAAATAAAAAAATTACAAAACTTTTAGGTTATTGAATTGAAAGAAAAGATCCTGAAATATAGATTTTCGAATTAATACGGGTAATGCGAACATCATCCCACTTTTTCAGTCGACGAGTTATGTTTCGAAAATCCGACTGTACATCTCATAAGTCATCTCTTAAATATCATCACTGCCAAAATAAAACAAATGCGAAACTTTTAGACTGTTGAATTGAAAGAAAAGAGCCCGTTATACAAATTTTCGAATTAATGCAAGTAATGATTACATCATCCCACTTTGTTGGGTTTACGAGTTATGTTTCAAAAATCCCACCGTACATCTCATAGGTCATCCTTTAAAGATCATATTTGCTAGAAATAAAAAGAAAACATAACTTTTAAACTGTTGAATTGAAAGAAAAGAGTTTGAAATAAGGATTTTCGAATTAATACGGGTAATGAGAACATCATCCCACTTTATGGGTCGACAAGTTATGTTGCAAAAATCCGACTATGCATCTCATAAATCATCCCTTAAAGATCATCTCTGCCAAAAAATAAAAAGAATATACGAAACTTTTAAACCCTTGAATTGAAAGAAAAGTGTCGAAATACAGATTTTCGAATTAATACGGGTAATGAGAACATCATCCCACTTTATGTGTCCACGAATTATGCTTCAAAAATCCGATTGTACATCTCGTATGTCATCCCTTAAAGATTAACTCTGCCAAAAATAAAAAGAATAAGAAACTTTTAGACTCTTGAACTGAAATAAAATAGCCCCGAAATACAAATTTTCCAATTAATAGGGTGATGAGAATATCATCCCACTTTTTGAGTCTACGAGTTATATTTCAAAAATCCGATTATACATCTCATAGGTCATCCCTCAACGATCATCTCTATCAAAAATAAAAAGAATACAAAACTTTTAGACTCTTGAATTGAAATAAAAGAGCTTGAAATACAGATTTTCGAATTAATACAGGTAAAGAGAACATCATCGCACTTTATGGGTGTACGAGTTATATTTCAAAAATCCGACTATACATCTCATAGATCATCCCTTAAAGATCATCTCTGCCAAAAATACAAAGAATACGAAATTTGTAGACTGTTGAATTGAAAGAAAATAGCCCATTATACATATTTTCAAATTAATATGGGTAATGAGAACATCATCCCACTTTATAGGTCAACAAGTTATGTTTCAAAAATTCGATTGTACATCTCATAGGTCATCCCTTAAAGATCGTCTCTACCAAATATAAAAAGAATACAAAACTTTTAGACTATTGATTAAAAGAAAATAGCCTGAAATACAAATTTTGCAATTAATACGGGTATTGAGAACATCATCCCACTTTTTGGATCTATGAGTTTTGTTTCAAAAATCCGATTGTACATCTCATAGGTAATCCTCCAAAGATCATCTCTGCCAAAAATAAAAAGAATACGAAACTTTTAGCCTATTGAATTGAAAGAAAAGATCCCGAAATATAGAATTTCAAATTAATACGGGTAATGAGAACATCATCCCACTTTTTGGGTCTACGAGTTATGTTTCAAAAATTCGACGTAAATCTCATAGGTAATCCCTTAAATATCATCACTGCCAAAAATGAAAAGAATATGAAACTTTTAGACTGTTGAATTGAAGAAAAGAACCCGATACACAGATTTTCGAATTAATATGAGTAATGAGAATATCAACCCACTTTATGGGTTGATGAGTTATGTTTCAAAAATCCGACCATACATCTCATAGATCATCCCTTAAAGATCATATATGCCAAAAATAAAAAGAATATGAAACTCTTAGACTGTTGAATTAAAAGAAAATGCCCCGGAATACAGATTTTCGAATTAATACGAGTAATAAGAACATCATCCCACTTTATGGGTCTACAAGTTATGTTTCAAAAACCCGACTATACATCTCATAGGCCATCCCCTAAAGATCATCTCTGCTGAAAATAAAAAGAATACAAAACTTTTAAACCCTTGAGTTGAAAGAAAAGAGCCCGACATACAAACTTTCGAATTAATACGGGCAATAAGAACATGATCCCACTTTATGGGTCTACAATTTATGTTTCAAAAATCCGAGTGTACATCTCATAGGTTATCTTTTAAAGATCATATCTGCCAAAATATAAAGAATACGAAACTTTTATACTGTTGAATTGAAATAAAAGAGCCTGAAATATAGCTTTTGGAATTAATACGTGTATTGAGAACATCATCCCATTTTATGGGTCTACGAGTAATGTTTCAAAATTTCGACTGTACATCTTATAGGTAATCCTTCAAAGGTCATCTCTGCCAAAACTAAAAAGAATACGAAACTTTTAGATTGTTGAATTGAAAGAAAAGAACCCGAAATATAGATTTTTGAATTAATACGGGTAATGAGAACATCATCCCACTTTTTGGGTCGACGAGCTATGTTTCAAAAATTCGACTGTACATCTCATAGGTCATTATCATCATTGCCCAAACTAAAACGAATATGAAACTTTTAGACTATTGGATTGAAAGAAAAGAGCCTGATGTACAAATTTTCGAATTAATGCAAGTAATGATTACATCATCCCACTTTATTCGATTTACGAGTTATGTTTCAAAAATCCCACCGTACATCTCATAGGTCATCCCTTAAAGATCATATCTATCAGAAATAAAAAGAATACGAAACTTTTAGACTGTTGAATTGAAAGAAAAGAGCTCGACATAAGAATTTTCGAATTAATACGGGTAATGAGAACATCATCCCACTTTATGGGTCTACAAAATATGTTTCAAAAATCCGACTGTGCATCTCATAGGTCATCCCTTAAAGATCATCTCTGCCAAAAATAAAGAGGATACGAAACTATTAGACCATTGAATAGAAAGAAAATAGCCCAAAATACAAATTTTTGAATTAATACGGGTAATGAGAACATCATCCCACTTTATGGGTCTTCGAATTATGTTTCAAAAATCCGACTGTAAATCTCATCCGTCATCCCTTAAAGATCAACTCTGCCATAAATAAAAAGAATACGAAACTTTTAAACCCTTGAATTGAAATAAAATAGCCCGAAATAAAAAATTTCCAATTAATACGGGTAATGAGAACATCATCCCACTTTATGGGTCTACGAGCTATGTTTCAAAAATCCGACTATACAACTCATAGCTCATCCCTTAACGATCATCTCTACCAAAAATAAAATGAATACGAAACTTTTAGACTCTTGAATTGAAAGAAAATAGACCAAAATACAGATTTTTGAATTAATACAAGTAATGAGAACATCATCCCCTTTATGGGTCTACAAGTTATGTTTCAAAAACCCAACTGTACATCTCAAACGTCATCCCTTAAAGATCTACTCAACCAAAAATACGAAACTTTTATACTCTTGAATTGAAAGAAAATAGCTCGAAATATAGATTTTTGAATTGTATATGAATATGAATTCTAAATATTATGACACAGTACCAAGTTAACCATTTACGTGAAGACGATGACATGCTTTTTGGGATTAGAGTCCTTCTGCAGCTCTCCTCTTCAATATGCAAGGCCTCAAGAATGGGGTTTGAGTTTATGTAAGCTTGCGTGATTAGAAAGAGTACAGGGACCCTAATATATACCATACACAATGGTAATCAACTAGGACTCTTCCCATTGAATAATCTTGATTGATCTTAATCTTATCACTGTGAATTCCCTTATTCATATCAGCTAGAAAGACTTCTAATAATATCAAGAGTGTTCAAGCTACTGAATCCTAATAAACATGTTCCTTATCAACTCATAAACATTGTTAATATTGATCTCTAATATTTCCACGTGAATAACAAGCGCTAACCAAGTGTATTGCTCTTATCAAAACTTACAATACAATGTTAGATGGAGTCTTGGAGATATTCTTACGTACATTGGTTTGTACGTTTGGATGTGCAAGTTGCAATTATGCAATGTTAGATGGAGATATTCTTGCATATAGTACATTGGTTTGTTTGGGTGGATCATAACACGTGGTTGGTTCGTTAGATGACCTTTGGGTTATGTAATGAGAGATTCTCTCATGCAAAAAATATTTAGTCTTAATAGTGTCCTCGTCAAAAATGCTTGCAACATACGTTAATTTCCTAATAGGATTTTTACTACAAATAAAAATAAGGATAAAAGCACTTAAAATACTTGCAAGGGTACAAAGTAATTGTAATATAGTTAGCTTTAACAAGATTGTTCTCCACAAGAATTGAATGAATAATTTATTTCATATGAAATCTTAATTAATTATTTAAAACAAAGTTTGGAAAGAAAAAAATTTTGATTTTGGAATTTAAAATAATAAAAAGGAATTTAATAAAAATACTTAAATAAATTTACAAAGTAAAGAACACAAAAGAAAACGGTTTTGAAAATCAAATTAAAAATTATAGCTCCGCCGTCACCTTAACAATTATACGTAGTTCTTCCAATTACTTATGAATTACACATGCTTACTTTGAAGGTTAGGTTTTCCTAAAATATGCTCTACTCGGACCCCCAATCTAAAACATATATCAAATATGCAGCCTGTCTATAGTATTCAGATCAAATCTAAATATGTAAGACTCATTAAGTTTTGTGAAAATCCTTTGAAAAACCATGCAATCCCTAAGACATGATATTCATCCTAAGTGAAATTACACACACATCAATCACAAGAAGCCTTCGTCAATTTCAGGGACAGACCTCCGACCAAAATTACATCAAATTACTTTTCTAAATATCATAATGGTGATCAATCATTATGACAAATATATAGTTTAAACACGGTGATTAATAATTCAAATCTACATGCATAATATCATGAGTAAATTGAAAAGAAACTACATATTCTTGCTAAGGCTCATGTCCTCGCCCTAGCAAAAGAGAATGAGTTATGAACAATCATAAAAGAAAATATTATTAAAACATGGATAAAAAACACATTGGAATACAAATCGTCAAAGCATAGCCAAGTTCTCCAAATCGATGTGTTCATCGGCCCTAACGGCTCAATAATACTACCACAAAATAAAATCCTTACTATAAAAGGTCTTCTAAAAACTTCAAAACTTATAACAAGATAACTAGGAATTACATTTCTATTCAAACTTTGGAAAATCTACCCAGTCACAAAGAATCTCATGTTTCTGGATCTTCAGTGCTCCAAAACGGGCCCAAAACGACTTGAATTAAAGCTTGAGATGTCCCGAACATAATTGCAAAGACCTCAAACCTAAAAGACATCATCTTGGACGCCAAAAAGCCCAAATAAGCTCAAAACGTTACTTTGACAGCACTGCGCGTTGCTCCTTTATTTCTTCGCCATAAATAAGCTACTTGATAGAAAAATTTGAAACTTTGATAGGCAAAAGTTGAGAGACTCACGAACATTCTCCAATTGGAATCCTTCCAAAATTCATCTGTTTGATCACTTTTTTCTCAAGAGGAAGTCGCATGTCCTACATTAGAAATATAAATTACAGTATCAAACTTTCACCAAAATAACCAATAAATTAATACTAAGAATAGGTTAAATTAGTATAATATCGACTCATCAGTGTCATCGTCAAATAAATTCTTGCAACGTGTTTGAAAAGTGCACTATCTATCTATTAGACAATTAATACATAGTGGCATGAGAGAATTGCTTATAAGGAGAATGAGTTATGATTTTCTTTGGTTTTGTCCACTTGGCCATTATTTATGGTTCACACTAAAACTATGGGACCTATGATAGGTACATTATTTATCATATTTTCATGTTAATTATCCCTAGGTTTTGTTAAGGAATTGATTATAAAAGAGCCTTATTACTTTCCTTTTCTCAGTTTTAGCCAATACGCGCACTCAAGTTGTTTTTGCTAATAATTCGACTTTCCGGATGAATTTTAATGCAACGCCAATTGGAGAAGGAAGCTAAGAGGCTGAAGATCATTGTGTATGAATCTCATATTTTTCCATAGTCATTCATTCCAATTTTACAAATCAATCCCGCAAGATTTGCGTTCTCATCAAAATTGCGCAGCTGTGGGAGAATGAAGATTTGGAGCCTTTCCCAATTTTTCCTAGTGGTGTGCGATATATTATTGGAAAGATAAGACATAAATCTCAGGTTCTCATATTTTTACAGAATTTTCCAGAAAAAATTGACCTCAAAACTGGCGTGCAAGACAAATGACTTGTTTCCCAATCCAAGAAGGATTCTTTCCTAGTTTGTGTCATTAATTGTTTAGGAGTTTGTTTTTTTTTTTTTTTTCTGCCAAACCTTTTAGGGTTTTTCTAGTATAAATAATGCATCCTAAGCTCTCTCTACAAATATCCCCCACATCACCACCACACTATGCTACCATTTACCATCTACGCAATTTGAGAATAAGAGCTTAGGGACGTACTTTGTCATGGACTCCGAGTTCCATCTTTCCTTTATTTTTATTTCTATGTGTAACTAAGTTACTTCTCTAAGGTTTATGATGAAACCATGATATGATTATTTCCGAAGTATTTTGTTGATTATTATTCGATTACATGCCATGTTTAATTCTTAATATTTGTGTGTAATTTATTCTAGTTTCGAATGTTCTTGTGATTGCCCATCATTGTGAATTTGTTTTAAATATTTAGGTAAATCTAAAAGGACGACCAATCAATTAGATTTATTGGAACTAAGATTAAGAAGAGTAGAAAACTAGTGAGGATGACCAATATCAAACTAGTCCTACTTGGTTCACATGATTCTTCATTTCTTAATGGATTTTTATGTGTTTAACTAAATGCCTAACCAATATAGACATATGAGTTGATGCCTGACCACGAAACCTTAAATATTGGCATGGTAATTGAATAGTAATCGGCTTAAAGAAAAGGGAAATGATTGTTATTGGTGGATTCATGACCTTAGGCTTTCATCATCTTAATTTGTTTAAACTTTCATTCGTTGCGTGTTTTCATTATTCATCTTTCAGATTTTATTATAAGTTGTAGCTTTAATTACTTTTCATAATCAATCAATCATTTGTTTTTCTACGTTAAGTTTCGCATAATTAGCTGGTTAAATTGGTGTTAAAGCAATTCCTATGGGATCAACCTCATATTTGCATATATTCCTGTAATTGATTCGTGTGCTTACAAGTTTAATTTGGTTTAAATTAATCTATTATTTAGGTTATTTTAAATATACATAAACCTACGCTTTACACAAAGTCCGAATTTGCTCACCACCTTAACTAGGTGATGACTGTTACCACCATCTTAGGAAATTGACATGTGTCAACGTGTTTAATCATTGATTCCATTAGTTCATGTCAGTAATTGCCTTTCAGTATACCGTTTATCCCTCCAACCACACATTTATCCCTCTCTTCCACCATATACTTTTATGTGTCTCTAGGACAAAAGACGAAAACTGAAAACTAAAATCAAATAAAATCTGAAATGGATCCATAATGAGTTCAGTAGTGTAAGTAGTTGCGTAGAAAGTGAATCATTTGGATAAAAAGGAAGCAAAGTGACACATGTAACAAAATTTCTAGAAGTATTTTTAGGTTTAATCCTGTGCAATTGATAATTTTTGGAAAGTGCTGCAGGTCGAATAATTTAACCTACCTCCGTACTTGCTAGACATCTGCGAGAGCAATAAGTTGATCGACCACATTTGGTTCCGCAAGGGTGCTGGTGTCTCCAAGCTCATCTAACTGTCTAGAAGCGATCTTCCTCAGAATCCTCCTCATGATCTTCCCACTCCTTGTTTTCGGAAGGCCAGGGGCCCAGTGGATTCTGTCCGGTGCTGCAAATGCTCCTATCTGAAAAATGTTTACATTCCAGAATTTAACAATTTTTAACCCGAAACCATCAGATCTGAAATTTCCCGGACTCTGAACAGCACAAGACTAGAGTGCCGTTGCACTTGCACTGCAACAAACAAGGTGCAATAGAAAACTTAGACGCAGAACTAGATACATACCTGCTTTCTCACAGCCAGTACAAGGCTTTTCCGGAGTTCTTCACTGTAAGGTACACCTTCCACAAGAGTAACAAAGGCATATATACCTTGTCCTTTAACCTATAGAAAGAAAGTAATTTTGTTCAGACATACTAGGCGCAAGCATCTGCCACTCCCTCCCGCTCTCTTGCTCTCTCTTAGATATGTCATGCACAATTCATAACACAATGCGAAGTATATGGAGATAATTTACCAGATTTTCAATGCAGATTGTAGAAAGACAATTTCATTAGAGTTTATTCTTCTCTAGTGGGATATGATTTTTATTTCAATGTTAGGGTTCAAATTTCTTAGTACTTGAATGTGTCACATTAAAGGTTAAAGTTTGGGTTCTCTCCTCCAAGGATCCTAATCTGTTAAACTCAGTTATTGTGTCACATCCACGTACTTCATGCTCAATGCCAACCACAGCAGCTTCAGCACACTGGGGATGGGAGACCAGAGCAGATTCCACTTCTGCTGTACCAATACGATGTCCACTGCACATATTATGATTTTATCATTGAACAAAAGGAATAAACAACAATCACACAGTCGTCCACATTACATCCTAAGAAATCCACACGTTATCCTATCACTACGTTTAGCTAACTCGTACAAACATCAAGATTGAAAAATTATATGCACGTAGTTTATGGAATCCAAAAATACCTAACGTTGATAACATCATCAACCCTTCCTGTAAGCCAGTGATATCCATCCTTGTCCCTGAGACATTGATGTGTAACACTTAGTTTTATATCACATTAGAAGAAGTCCTAATAAATAAATCCTATACTCTAAACTCAAAAAAGGAATCGAATCTCGTCCTGGAAACAAAAATCTCCGTGCATAACACTTGTTAGCATTCACACTAATGCAATTGCAATGTGATGTTATTACTTACCTGCTGCATCCATCACCACTAAAATAATATCCGGGGAAAGGTTTAAAGTAAGTGGTTTCGTATCTTTCGTGATCACCGTATAGAGTTCGGAAAGCCCCAGGCCATGAGCTTTTTACACACAGATAGCCACTGCATTCCCCTTCAATCTCAACACCCTTTTCATCAACTATGACAGCCTACAGTTACAAGCAAAATAATTATTAAGATTAGATCTTACAGATTCAAAAGTATAAAAAGAGGATACTTTATGAGATCCATAAACTAGATTAGAATAAAATACCTGCACCCCAAAGAAAGGGAAAGTAGCAGAACCAGGTTTCTGTGGCCAGGCACCCGGTAGTGGAGTTATCTGTCAGGTAAAGAAAGCCAAGCATTTCAAGTTAAAACATCTCACTGATGGAAGTCCAGGTGAATGCACATACATATTGGCACATAAGTGTGGTGAGAGGAGTTTTTAACGAAGTAAGATCTTGAGGAATTTTCCCGTGCCACTAACATTTCTGCTTAACACCAGTCAATGGAGCGAGGGATGAAAACTATATAAGAACAGTACTACAATACCATAAAGCCACCAGTTTCAGTTTGCCACCAAGTGTCGGAAATAGGACATTTTGAATCTCCAACCACGTTGAAAAACCACCTGTACCAAACAGCGTTGGGTTAATAACTCTTTTTGGGTGTGAAGTGAAGCTTTTGAATCAGACAACAAAAGAGATGAGAACCTCCATGCACTTGGGTTAATAGGCTCGCCTACACTTCCAAGGACCCGTAAGGATTTTCGCGAGTATCGTGTAACATACTGCATAATACATAAATAAATAAAATTCAAAGAACACACACATCCATAAATACTTAAGGCATTATGTAAGGGGTACTGGAATCTTAGCCTTATCCAGACAACAAAACCACCATGGATACAGAAACAGAACACTATGTAGAATGGCAAATCTTGCAATGCAGATAGTAAATGACGGAGAATATAAAGAGGACTGATTTCTTGATGTTAATTTAATAAGATACATCGAGAGGTGGGACACCCAAGAAAACCAGATATGTATGACAGAGGAGCATCTTTGATGGAACAAAAGAACAAAAATTAAACAGGGACAAATGACAAGAGGATCTTATAGCCTAAAAACACAGACAAGCTTTATACTTCAACAAAATCATGTCCAGTTAATGAAAATATCCATTAGATTTAAGGAAGAAAAAAAACGTTTGGGAAATGATTAACCAAGAAACAAAATAGAGAAATGCTTTTTTTTTTTTTTCTGTACATAGCTGCTAACATCCATCATAAACTTATAAAATCATCTGGATCAATAACAAACACATTAAAATAATCACATCCATATATAACGAAGGAATGGCTAATATCTTACCTTGTCACTATCACGCATGAGGGACCGCACTAATGTGGGGGCAGTATAAAATATGGTCACTTTGTATTTATCAACAACATCCCAACAGCGTCCAGGATCAGGATAATTTGGAGCCTGCAACATATACACGGATAGTAACAGCTACATGAAATGTCAACATAGGAAATCCAATTCAGCAAGAATTAGAGCAAGCATATGCACCAAAAAATAAACCATAATCAATCTTACTGTAGCGCTCTTTAAACATGAGATCCTCTGGCAATATCCACATATTTAGATACAGCTAGTCAGTGTTCTGAATATAATTATGTATTTAGCACTAGAAGAGTTCATTTCATTTATAGTATAATGTTCAAAGAATTTAAAAATTTATATAGATCATAGACAGTGATACGTGATTCTTCTCACCATAAGTAAACACATACAAATTTTAATTAAATGTCATATTCATACTAGTGAACTACTGTTTGTTATTTTGCCTTCTTGAGGAAATAAAGGCATTATTAAGTTACTCTGAGTCCAATGGTTAGTTTACAACAGAGGGGTTACCCTTTTTAACATAAGAACCTATCCACCCTTTAAACAATAGTATATGTACAACTAAAGACCTTCCGCTAAGGAGAGTACTACACTGGTAAAAAATAAAAAGTCAAAAGAAAAAAAACATTAATCTTTAAACCTAGCTGTCCAGCTTCTTCTTGGTATACTCTTTTTCTTTTTTTCCGAAGGCTTCCAAGTGCCTGACTAGAGATGTCGGCTGATCCATATGTGTGCATGAATGTTTTTCTTCAGATATATATATTAGGTTCCTCTCTTACAGTTACATGTAAAACGATAATATGTATACATTAATCTGTCTATTAGTTACCCCTTCATATAAAACAGCAGTTGCTCCATTAAGCAGGGGTCCATAAGTGACATAGCTGTGCCCAGTGATCCAACCACAGTCAGCAGTACACCTAAATTAAAGATAAAGCCATGTTCAGCAACAAAAAACATCAGAACAAAGCAAGTTTCTTTCACATGAGGAAAATCAAAATAACATTAATGATAAGCTTAGGGTTTTGAAGGATACCAGTAGATGTCGGATGAGCTGTAATCAAATGCATATTTAAATGTTGTGGCAGCGTACACCATATATCCTCCAGTTGTGTGGAGAACTCCCTATAAGAGCTTATTATTAGAAGAATCCACAGGGAGAAGAAAAAAATTATTTGAAGTATGGAACATAGATTACCTTCGGTTTGCCAGTGCTCCCACTGGTATAGAGCAGAAAAAGTGGATCTTCTGCATCAACCCAGTCCACTGCACAAGTAGTTGGATATTTAGGTATGACATCCTGGGAGATAATCATGGGTCATCACTCATCAGTCACAACCGTCCGTAAGACAAACATTCAGGTCAATCATAAGCATATGATGAAACAATAATATAGGAAGAGCACACAATGCAGCATGCATGTTACAAACAAAAGAATTCTTTCCTCATGGAAGTCTATATCAAGAGGTGCTAGTACAAGTGCTAACCTGCCACCATACATCCCTTCCTTCCAGCCATTTAGTACTTTCCCTCTTCATAGCCAATTGATTTTCATAAGTTAAGCATACATCTGCTCAAACAGGGCACCATATGTCATGATACAGAGAACTTTTACATAAAAACTGTGCATTGCCTCGCCATACCCACACACACATATAGGTCATTCCATAGATCACATATCAATTTACTAATTTCCATACCTACAGAAACCCCACTTTGGGATGATTCTATAAGGGCAGCATCAACTATATCTTTGAGGTGGATAACCTTAGAACCTCTTTTAACAGCATTGCAAGTGATTACAACTTTCGGTTTGCAATCTACAATCCTTTGAGCAAGAGATTCCGCAGAAAATCCGGCAAAGACAACCTGAAAGATTGGAAAAGGCAATTAAGTATGAAAAAGAAATCATTGGAGGATGCTGGAAAGCAAAGAGAAAGATGGTGCAATACCGAGTGAACGGCACCAATGCGGGCACAAGCAAGCATTGTAATTGGAAGTTCCATTAACATGGGCAGGTAAACCACAACAGCATCACCCTTTTTAACTCCAACATCTTTCAAATAGTTCGCAAGCTGCGAATGAATGGTAGAGGTAAGAAAAGGTGAGATATTTTGCTTATTAGTTTTATGAAGCAACTCGCATTCCCAGGCAGATTGATAGACGGACCGACCTGGCAAACGTTGTGGAGAAGCTGGGTGTAAGTTAAAGTGGCATCAACACCAAGCTCATTGCCTTCCCAGTAGAAGGCAATTTTGTCACCAAGTCCAGCTTCAACATTTGTGTCAAGGCAATTGTAGCAGATGTTGGTGATACCGCCCCTGAACCACTGCTCAAATCAAAACTTTCTAAACTCAAAAAAAGGCAAGGCAAGGCAAGGCAAGCAAATCAAATCGAATCAGAAAAAAGGAATCAAAAGAAAGACCTCAATTCGGATATCGCCTTTCCTGACATCAAGATTCTCCGAGTACACTGGTTGGCCCCATTTCTGTTTCCAAAAGAAGGTGGCAGCGATGTCGGACCAAAATCCGGCGGGGTCCTCGATGGACCGTCTGTACATCTCCAGATACTGAAGGGGGAGGAAGAGGGTAATAAGATAGGATTAAGAGGTTAGATGATGTTGTTGGAAGTGGAAGTGCAAAGCGCGGAGAACTGAGAGAAGAATTAATAAATGGAAGGAAGATAGCCAAGGTACCGTACCTGTTGGGGAGAGGAGACGTGGGCCTGACGGGAGAAGTGGTCGCTGGGAAAGACGAGATCGTTCTCTTCAGAAGCGAGAGATTCTCCGAGAATGACAGCGTTCGGGTGGGAAATGTTTCCGGCGCCGGAAGGCATTGTGGCCATCGACTCCACATGCCGCAGGTGATCGCTTGTCGTAATCAAATTTGGATTATTACGAGGCTTCTTGTTGTTGTTGTTAGCAGCATGATGATCGGCATGATCAGGCGTTGATGATTCCATGTCCCAACCGCAGGATTTAAATCTGGGCGACGCCCACAAAGAAGTCCTCCTTTTTCCTCCTCTTCGTCAAAGAAGAAGAAGACGACTCAGCGAATTGGAATTGGAGTCTGGAATTGACTTTCTTCTTCCGTGGAGAGCGGAAAGGGAATATATGGCCAACGGAGGAGTGTGATGATGATTCTGATGATATGCAAAACCCTGACCCTCTGCAAGGATAAGATTATGAAGATTATTATAACAACCCCTCCTCCTCCTCCTCCTCCTCCTCCTCTCCAGGTAGAGATAGAGGTAGTCATAGAATTTTTAATATTAAAATTAGTCTAGTTTCCTTTCTCTCTCCTCTTGGTCTTGCTTCTGCGTTCGTTCGTTCAAGTTAAGCTGTCTGATTTCATTGAGTTGTGACTTTTCACCCATTAAACAAACGTTTCAAAGCTGGCAGGCAGTGACATAGAATAGAATATCCTTTTCTCTCTCCACTCTCCACTGAATACTTTGACTGTGGAAAAGCTTTTCCACTCCAATGTCGATCGCTACTGCAGGCAGACAGACTGCACCTACCATATCCAGGATTTCACACCCCTCACCTTACATACCTACGCACGTGCAGTCCACGTCAGAGGATTTATACGGTTCATTGTTCAACGATGTTCACTTGTAAAAGTAAATAATTAGAAAATATGAAAATAAAAATAAAGTAATCATAGTATAAACAGCTTATTCTCTACAAAAATTGATATGAATAACTTACCATTAAATTGAGATCACGAATTAAAAAAAAAAAATGCAAGAAAGTAAAATTAACTAAATTGGCAAAAATAGGAATCACACAAAGTACAAATAACACATGGGTTTAGAAAAACAAGGGTAAAGGCATTAAGGTTTAGTCGTCGTTATTAGCAACAATATCTAACATATGATTCGTCTGTGACATTCAGATAAATCTAAACATGCAAGACTCCTTAAGTTTTGTGAAACCTTTTGAAAAATTCGAGAACCTTTAAGACGTGGCATTCACCTTAAGTGAAATTACAATTTGTGAAACCTTTTGAAAAATTCGAGAACCTTTAAGACGTGGCATTCACAATAAGCCTTACTCAATTTCAAGACGGCACTCCAACAAAAATTGCCCACGATTACTTGTCTAAACATCCTAATGGTGGTCAATCATCAAGACATACAAATAGTTTAAACACAGTGATTAATAATTCAAAGTATGCATGTATAACATCATAAGTAATTTAATAAAGACTACATATTCTTGATAAGGCTCATGACTATGCCCTAGCAAAAAAAAATTAGTAATACATATTGATCAAAACAAAATTTAGTAACACATAATCATAATTAAAAAGTAAAATATCATTAGAGTAAATGATAGAAATCACCTTATATCGAAGTACAAAATCCAAAAAACTATGTCGAGTTCTCCAAAGTAGTGCTTAGAGTGTTAGAAATATTGGTGATGTGAATGCTATTTCTCTTACAACAAATTACATAAGATAAAATAAATGAATACAAGATAAAATACTTATCTTTTAAGGAAAACTAATAAAAATAGCTTGAAAACTTTGACTTTTAATCAAAATGACAAAAAGGTGTTGTAAGTGAATAGTAACATGAGTAACTTTTTAAAGTAAAAATATCATTTTCGTTAAAAGTGAACAGTACCGGGAGTGTTTCGTTAAAACTCCCTATCTTTTATAGGATGGAAATGGTTCTTTGTCGATACTTGATTAGAACAAGATTTTATGTTGAGGCGTGTAGGTTAACTGTCCTTAAGAGTAGATTTTACCCTTCTAAGACAATTACTCGATGTAGCAGGTTATAATGTTCTACTCTCCAAAATACAACAACCTATAATCATTGCAAACGTACACTCACAATACTTTGATCGAACAACTCGATTATTTCTTTTGGTATAAAAGTGAATAATGTAAAAGTACAAATCAAGGGAGGAGATAACTCATCATAGTACCCAAATCATAGTAACCGTAGATAGGCACCAAATCACAGTAACCGTAGATAGGCACCAAATCACAGTACATTTAAGCAAGACAACAAAGAATTAATCAAGGCACTTACATTAAATAGATATGACACGGTATAAGCCTTTCCATTGCCTTTAATAAGTAACATAATTTGTGGCACTTAACTAAAAAGCTTCATATATAATTTACCCAACGCCTATTCCAATATTTTATTAAATATTCTATGGATAAGTGCAAATTCAAGAAATACCAAAATGTACCAATAATTCCAACAATTTAGGGGTGGTTTTGGTACATTACCGTACCAAAACCTCTGTACCAATTATCATACCAAATATTTGGTACGGTAAAATCTATTACTATTACCATACCAAACTTTCGGTATAGTTCGGTTGGTATGGTATGCCAATGGTAATTGCCACTTTGTTTTACGCCACTTAGTTTGCCCAAAATCTAATATTTTTTAATTAATGTAGAAGTGTAAAAAATATAGAAAAAATATATAAACACTCGTAATGACAAATTTTACAACTTTCGTGAAGAGCTTAACTTTGAAATTCACCATTATAATCATATAAATCATAGATCAAAATTTAACCGTTGATTGTTATTTACATTTACGCTTCATTTTTCTCATCAAATTTTTTTTTTTTTAAATCATGATCAATTAGAGGATGCAGGAAGATAAACGGTTTGATCGTTGATATTATGTTCAAAGTTTTACAGTTTGTGAAAATATTGCTTGATGTTTATAAAGTTTCTACAAACTATATGACATCGACTCATATTTCAGTTAACCGTAAATATCGAAATGTGATATCAAATATCTAAACCGTTCATCTTCTTACATCCGCCAGATGATCATGTTTTCAAGAAAAAAAATTTTAAAATGAAATTCAGTAAGAAGAATAAAGCGTAAATGACAATCGACGGTTAAATATAAATTTAAGATTTATGGATTATAGTGTTGGATCTTGAAGCTGACATCTTCATGAAAGTTGTAAAACTTGTCACTATGAGTGATTGTATATTTTTTTCACATTTTTTACACTTCTACAATAATTATTATTAATTTTATTAATTTTTCCCTCAAATAATTATATGAATAAATACATAATATAATATTAATAATATTGGTAGGTATGGTATACCACAGGAATTAGTTTTGGATATCAGTACTGTACCGAAACAATATGGTCCGGTACAAATACCGTATCTTTACCAATTGATACAAATTTTTGGTAATAATTTGGTATGGTATGGTTGGTAAGGCGGTTGGTACGGTAATTTGGTAAAAATTTCTACCCATATCCAATATTTAAAGGAAAGATCTCACCGATAATATTACGCATAGAACGGGGAACAAATTGGACCCAATCACCCTATCAATCAATCTTATATTGCCATGACCTGAAAATTAAAATGCCTAACCAAATCACCATCAATCTCTTGTGCTGTGCATCCATGAGCCCATCATCGACATAGATAGTAGTTTGTGCGGAGACCAAACGATGTAGAAGTAGCTTCCAAATCAACTCTTAAGATTGTTGGAATATTGGCGTTATGAATGTTATTTTCTCAACAACAAAGATAAAATAAAATACTTATCTTTTATAGTAATTTACGCTGCCACAATTAATTAGAAGTATGCAGAATTCTAGTAGCATAGTATCACCTTCAATATTTTACCAAAAACTCATTTCCTGTCCAAAAATGGTGAAAAAATACTAGTGTATACAATCCATAAAATTTGGAGTTATGAAAGTCTATAAAAAAAATAAGGATCTGTATCAGGCTCAAATTGTTGACATGAATGGTTTCTTATCAAAATTACATCAGTTACATATAACACTTAAGTAGTATTTATTCTTTTCCATGTCATAATGAAAAACGAACTAGGGATTTCAAAAGGATTTTACGACATAGGTTTAGAAAGAAAACCAAGAACCAATGATTTGTTTCTTATAATCCATTGCACAAAATTACGAAGAGGATTCGAATAAACGAAATTAAATACCACTTGGGTAAAACCCCAAAGAACCCAATTATAGAATTACCTTAAACTAATGATATAAACACATCAATTCAAATCAAAGTATAAAAGGAATTTATTCAATCACAATACAAACCCTACAAACTCATAACGAAAATTCCATATTAATCTATAGAAGGATTTGTAATTGAAAGTTAAAAAACAATCTAAATTATGCAATTTATACAAAAGCATAATTCAAATTAAATATCACCCAAGTTACCTCCAGACGGCGAGTGATTCACTGGAATACTCATAAAACAGCCAAAGTGCAGCCGGAAATGCATCGAAGTCTCAAAGCTTTGATTCACCTATTATTTTGTCCATGAAGGATAGACCAAGATAGCAGGTATAGGAACGAAAAAGTGAGGAGAAAAACCCCTTTTGTCTTTCACGCCTATCATCTAATTTCCTCCCTTATTCATTTATTAGTTCATAATTATCAAATAGGAGTCCAATTTTGTGATAAACTGATAATATTAATCAAAACCAAATCGATAATTAGACGAATTATTTTGAAATAAACTAAATGGGATGTAGTCAATTTGGATTTCAGAGGATTTTAATGGACTTTTTTAAGTGACAGATTTCAAAGGATTTTAATATATTCTACAATTTCATATGGATTTTGACAGATTATTATGGATTTCTATTATAGATTTCTATGGATTTGTAAGAATTTCTTTCATGGATTTCTTAAGATTTCTTTTTTGACTCCTACAACATAAATTCATTTCTTAGTACACAATCTGAAAAAGACATAAACATATATATATATATATATATATATATATATATATATATATATATATTGATATGAAAATATAAACCAATCAAATATGTCTTTTCTTTTCTTTTCTCATTTGAATTGTGATTTCTTTACGAAAATAAAATTTTAACTAACCACAACAAGTAGTGCTTCTTTTTTTTTTTGAAAAGAACAAGTAGTGTTTCTTAAATCAAATGTCTCAAAATTAACCATTTTTCCTCAACAATTGATTAATTCATAATGTGTTGTTCGGTCAAGATTAAGTTTCTACAATATTGACAGCCATCAAAATTCCTGCAAAAATTAGTCTACACAATACCCATAAAATATGAACAAAATACACTTAATTAGTATGTAAATTTAATTGATACAGAATTGCTTTTATCATGTTAGCTAATTCTAATTGAATAGTATAAATAGTCAACCAAACAATAGACACAAATTATACTTTAGTTGTGTCGTTCATCTACAAATTTTCCATTAAACAAATTACCTATTAATTGGACCCTAAGTTTGTTGTGTGGCTCTGATACCACATGTAAGACATATTCTGAAATCACAAAAACAAGGCATTAAGATCACGAATATAATGAATCAAATCAATATAAAATGGAGGTGAACTAATTATATTGAACTTATCTGTAAAATACAAAAGGCATGGCTCTTCCGGATGACAAAGGATTCGGCGTATGCATAAGAATGTCTTCTACTCTCTCCAAACTATATGTTCTTGCTATG